TCATGGCAAGAGAAGACATCAAAAGCAACAAAGACCTTATCAGAGTCTTTCTGCCCCCTTTATCTTATCCAGGCTACTTAAGGCAGGTAGCACTCACACCCTTAATCCTAGTGTGCTTTATCCTAGCATTGTACCATGAATCAATTCCAGCATCACACCCTCTAGATCCAGACACCTCTGAAAAAGTCCCACCTATGACCACATGAGGCTTTGGGGGGACATCGAGATACAAACCATAATAACTAACTTCATTATATCATCTGCATCCCAAGTGACACTTCTCAGTGGCATATCAATCAAAATTGCCATGACTGTGATTGGAAAGAACCATAAGGAACACAAAGGGGTAGCACCTGACTTCCCATAAAAGACGTGATGATATCTCTCCTTTACTACCCTGTCTCTGGCCCTTGCTATTTTCACCCTGTATCAATAACCCTTACACCCAATGGGTTGTTATATTCTGCTTCATTGATCAAACAGTGGTGGATCTTGTTACTGATTCCATGATTTTGGGGGGGTGGGGAGGGAGAGAGACAGACAGAGACAGAGACAGTAGAGCCTTTTTTAAAAAAACAGGACACCAATGTAAGTCTGTTTTTAGCAGCACAAAGGACTAGTATACAGGATGGAGCCCTCCTAGACTGTGGATGAGGATGTACTGCAATTATAGCAGCTTCAAACTTGTGTCAGTGAAAATGTCTTACTTTCTCATCGCTGGGACAAAATACCTGATACCCACAAGTTAAAGGAGAAGTTTACTTTGGCTCACAGTTTGTAGGGGTTTTAGTCAGCTCGTTCCAAGGCAGGGTGGCATGGCAGGAGGACATGGCAGAGGAGAAGCAGCTCACGGCACTGTGGAAGGAAGCGGAGAGTGATCAAGCGATGAAAAGGGATATATACACCTTCAGGCCACTCCCACAGCGAACCACCTCTTCCCATCAGGCTTTACTACACCCACTGGACTAATCTAGTGATGAATATCACACCCCCATGATCTAGTCACCTCCCCAAAGCCCCACCTATGAGCACGTGAGGCTATACATAAATGATAGAGGGCCAGAACTGAAACTAGGAAATCTTCTGAAAGGCTTACTGTGACTGTTGGTTATGTAAATAAGGGGCCAGATTCCTCCTTTCCTGATCTTACCTACTCCAAGGTGCCCTCTTCATTCTTCAAAAATGCAACGGTATCAACGAAAGTGTCTGGAGGCAGGTGGGCACCACACTTGCTGGCTGGCTACACTCGAGAGTACAAAACCTCAGTTTGACAGCCAGGTTCGACACCATTAGACAGGGAACTTTTACATCTTCCACTGGCAACTGTGTGGGTGTGTTGCAGGGTGGGCGGGTGAGTCCTGCATGTGTTTAAGAAAGAGGATTGGGGTGAGTTGAGTGTTGGCAGTAAAGAGGTACAGCTGTCAGATTTGCTATATTTAGGAGGCAGAAGGAAGAGAAATTGGAAATTAATTGTGAGGCAAGATATTAAGGTATGGTAAACTGGTTGAGCAAGTGAAAATCTGCAGAAAAACAGTTCCCAAACCCCTGTTCCTGCAACTGATCAGAGATGCTATCTTTAACTCTTCTCACAAGAATTCCAGCAGGTTTTGAAAGCATAGCCTAGGTTAGCACGGGAAGTGGAAGATACAAAAGACAGCCGTGCTTCTCACTGTGACCACTATACACTCTTTCACAGTGGTCTGTTTTCACCCTATAGAGCAGTAGTGGTGAACCTATAGCTTGTGTGTTATTTTTCTTTTAGGACAAAAGATGTTAATATGAGTTTTTTTTTTTCTAAACCAAAACCTCCATATTCAGATTTTACTGTAGTGTTGGCACTTTGAAACAAATACAGTGGAACTTTGAGGTACAACTGGCCTCACAGACGAACAAGTTGGAATTTTAGTTTTATGACCAAAATCTTGAGTTATGACCCAAATGCCAGTCTCTCCTGTGTGGAGTTAATTAAGAAATCCTGGGTCAATCTCTAAGGATACTGAGGTCTGCCTGAAAGAAAATGTGGCCTAAAATTATACAGGAGACAGATTTTAAAGGCTGTGGAGAGGTACTTAAGTCAACTGACCCTGTGGTTGATGACACTGTCACTACAGCAGTGTCCATAGGCGTGGTGATGTTAAGGAACTGGTGGAGGAACACAGAGGAATTGTCTGTCTATAGAAGAACTTCAGATTTGGGGGGCTGCTCAGACCTTTGGAAGCCTATAGGGAAGATGTAAAGGAATAAAAGAAAGAGAGACAATATTAAGGTACAAAGAGGACTGAGAGAAATCTGCCTCTAGTGGACCTGTTCAACAATCTCTGTGGTGGACAAATGTTTTTAGCCAGCAAGAAGCACAGGGGAGGGAGTACTGTACTTTTCCAGGAACAGTGACTGCAGTAAGATTAGGGTACTCAAATGGGGAACACGTTTGGCATCTCAAAGGGAGCAAGTTAAGGTCCTTGTCCATACCTGAACTCCTGCATTTTGTATTGGCCTCAGCAGATGCTATCTTGCCTCAGGAGCTCTGTAATGGCCCACATACTAGGAAGTCTACAGCTTTTTGCACACTTTTCTGTTCCTGAGGCAAGTTAACACTGGGCCTGTAGTCTGGCCCCCACCCATCTATGAATATCAAGGCTGGTCCTCAAGAGCCAGCATCTTCGGGATGAGCAACACAGAATGGCAGCTGAGGAGCTTTCTGAAGAGGAGGGGGGTATCAACAATCAGTGCAGTGAATTTCTTCTGAAATAAAGGAAATCCTGAAAAAATGGACAGAGCTACAAAGATTTGTAGAGAAGACTGCTCAAAGAAAAAGCCAGTCACTGTATTCGCTTGCTTAATGACAATGTTATACTACAGAACGGCATTAAAGAAAAGACAGAAACAGACAACTTTATACCAGTTTTTACCTCTGAAAAGACTGAGATTTACTGAGCCAGAGCAGGTCCTAATGGGCTACAGATTCTCCCACAGAGATAAAGGCCACCAATTAACCATATTCCTAATGTTCTTATGGGAGGGGCCTCTCCTTCTAAACAATAACCACCTTCCATTTCATCCTCCCTTTCTGCAAGCCAAAGATGTCAACCTGAATGGCATTGAGAGCAATTCCACATAATTTTGGGGAAAAATCATTTCACAATTAAATTATGCTTAGGCCTAGTTTTCCTGCCTACAGGCAGGCTGTGGCTTATCCAGACATCACTCCATTTTCACCTCTGGTCACAGCTAAAACCTCCATGGTCCAGTGGTGCTGTGATGCTCCAGGCAAGATTACATCAGCTGATGGCATCCTGGGGAGGAACAAAAATCTTCATCTGCATAAATTCTTATTGTTCTAGGATTATTGCTATTGCCCTCTGAGTCATCTATTACCCCCCACCCCCAACTCTTGTACTGAATAAAGGTGTGGCAAGCTCGGGGTCTTTTGTCTTTGCTGCCCAGAGCAGCACTGATCAGGCCCAAAGCTCAGCTTCTTCTCTAAGTCTCATTTTTGTCTTAATTCATTAATTCACCTTCAGCTGCCAAGGCTCACAGGAGACCAGGACTCACTGCAGGAGTTCTGGCAATGTCCCCTTTCCCTGTCCCCTACAGAATGGTGAGGACAGTATGAAATTGTTGTTTCTGATAAAGTAGGCCCATTTTATAACTTCTTGGTGAACACATTAGGAATATTATTGGTATTTCTGGTACATTGTACACATTATACAACACCTTTTTATTATGAAAAGGTTAGTTAAGGGGTTAACCTTTTGGGAGGTTCAGAACACATTAGGTTATTTCCATTATTTCTTATGGGAAAAATGGTCGACTTACAACCACCTTAAATTACAACAAGCCCTCATAAACAAATTGAGCTCATAAACCAAGGGCCCCTGTAAATGTGTTTAGGCTGCAGTTTGGGCATTCATCTCTAAAAGATAGTCCATCACTTCCTATATAGTGTGCTTGTACTTATTTTTATTGTTTTAATTGGCCCACACCGGCTCTGCAGAGAGATCATGTTTCTTTTACTACCTTTAATAAACGTAAAACAGCACTACATTTTGTGCTTATTTTGTCCAATTCTTTGCTCAGGACAAGAAGAACCTAGAAACAATCTCTAGAAGCCAGTAACAGTTACACAGCAGGGAGATGAAAGTGATAAAAATGGCACTCCTGGCTTATGAGTAGACGATGATCCATTTAGTAAGATGGAAAAGATTGGACTTTAGGTTTAAGGAGCCCATAAGGCTCCTTCTGTGACACATCGGAGAGGAGGGTTGTATACGCTCCTTGGGTATGTGAGCACAAGCCAAGGACCTACAAAGAGCAAAGGAGGCAACAAAGCCAAGCTCCAGGGAAACCCTCACATTTAAAGATCCTGCCTGTTCCAAATGTTGGTGGTCAGACTACTTCCTCCTGTAGTTCTCATTCAGTTCCTGTGAAGGGTACAAAAAACTGGTCTTTGCAGACCCCCACACACACACACACACACACACACACACACACACACGCACACACGCACCAGCAGGCACACCTCTGCTGGATTCCTAGCCAAAGCTTCTATTGAGAAGGCAGAGAAAGAAGGACCTGGTAGTGATGATCCAGGCCTGACAGTCACACAAGGTCCACCACCGCACCTTATGAGTACCCCATGCGGATCTCCTGGACCCTCTGCTACCCATTCTCTCTCTACACTGCTTCATTGGCCTTAGAACAGCCCTTCTTGTTCTTTGACGCTTTTCCAATTCCAACTCTGCAATCAGATTTCACTGTGTAGAAATGATGAATGTGGGACAAAAAGGGGGGCTTTCCTGTGCACAGGTGTAGGGGACGCCAGAAGAAATGACTTCAGAAGTAGTCTGTACCAGGAAGTGGGGAGAAGGTTGCAAAAGGCGCAAAGAATTTCCAGAGGTCATGGGCAGACTGATCTCTTCACTAGCGCCCACCTGAGGGGCGCAGGATGGAGCCACGCCCAGCGCGCTCGGCGTCTGCGCGGTTCCCGGAAACTCCACGCCCCCGCTCTTGGTTTCCCGGGGTCGCAGTTGCTCAGTGCTCAGGATCTCACGGAGGGGCGGGAAGCGCTTTGTTCCCGGTTTTGTTCTCCTGCCTCCTGTGATCGTGAGTCCACTAGGGCCTACGCGGGCTGACGGCGCCCCGAAGCACCCGGGTCTCCGCCCAGCCTGTTGCACTGGCAGAGAGCGCGGGAGCTCCTGCGCCCAGCGCAGCCCTAGTCCTGCCTGGGAAGGCGCGGAGCTGAGGCAGTCAGCTGGGAGCCAGACCCGCTGGGAGAAGAGACTGGCGGGAGGCGGGAGCAGCTGGGGAGCCCACAAAGGGAAAGCGAAAGCCGCGCGCCAGGCCGGTGACGGGGTGAAGGCGCCGCGCAGCCCTCCAGACGCCAGTGGGTATCCGCTCTCGTGGGCCTTCCTAGCCCAGCTCGGCTCGCCGCAGCAATGGCCATTGCCCACCTGGCCACGGAGTACGTGTTCTCAGATTTCTTGTTGAAGGAGCCCACCGAGGCCAAGTTCAAGGGGCTGCGGCTGGAGCTGGCCGTGGACAAGATGGTCACGTGCATCGCCGTGGGGCTGCCGCTGCTGCTCATCTCGCTGGCCTTCGCGCAGGAAATCTCAATAGGTAAAGCCCGACCAGAGGGGCGGTCTGAGCTGGGTGCCATTGTCTAGGGCCGTCCTGGTCTGGTGAGGGATGATTTTATGACGCACTGACCTGGGTATGCTCCTGGGAGTGCTCCCGCAGTGAGCATGAAGGTTGGGAAGAAATATGGCCCCCGTTTTGAATCTCATGCATCGTTTGTACCCGTTAACATCATCACTTCTCAGTTCTTTTGTTCCCATTGTCCCACTGATCGAACAGTGGCTTAGAGTTCTTGTCCCATACTTCTGTTGCCCTTGCCACCAGATTTGCCAAGAACATCCATCTCCCCTTTTTCCAAGTCCCCTCCCGATATTTGCTTATTCACCTGAAATTTTGTACCAGAGCAGTTCCGGAGTGACTGAATGGAGTATTCATGAAAAGTGCTTCATGAAAAGTGCGTTCCGCTTCGATGTATTATCTCTGATGCTTCCTTCCATTCTGAAAGGTTGTAAATAATGGGAAAAAACTGCATTTGATAGACGTTAGAGAGATCCTCCACTTGCACACTTCGTTGTGAATGTGAGTTGAATACCCTGCTTGTAAATTCTCATTTCAGCTTAACAGTTCTATGACTTTTGTGTGGTGGTTTGGGAAAGGTCGGAAGGCTGTGGCTGGTGTTCCTCAGCAGCTGTCCCTACTTCAGCACAGAAGTGGAGTGTGCCTGAAGCCAGGGGAAGGTATTTAGGAGGGCTGTAACTTCTGGAGGTGGGGCCAGGAGGGGCGGTGAAGCTAGACCAGTGATGATGAGCCTTTTCCAAGGCAGGCAGCGAACCGCGGAACCAAATCCCCAGCTCCTGATGAGCCTTTTAGAGACCCAGTGCCAAACTGCAGTACAGAGCAGGGAAAGGGGATTTTTCCTCCAAAATTATGCAGAATTGCTCCCCATATATTTCCCTTTTTGTTTTATGTGTGTTTTTAGGGAAAAGTGAACACACCCAACAGTGGCTTGTCCCTATGGGTTGTGAGGACCTATAGTGTGTTTAACTGGCTTAGCTGTCTATAATAAATTCTTTTCAAAGGGCTATCCCCAACTGCAGTCAGGGGAGAAGCGATATAGGTTTCATCTAACTGCTTCAAGCTGAGAAGGGTGGATGAAGGGAAGACCACAGTCTTCTATCTCCCCTTCTAGGGAGATAATTTAACAGGCCTTACGTAAAAATCATGTTATAACTTAGCAATGAAAACCCTCTTTACATCCGGTGGTTGTTGGAAAAAAAAAAAGTCTAGCACATTTGTTACTATCTGTACGATCACTTGGAGTTTGTCAACCTATAAGCAAGAATGAGCAAAAAATTTTTACAGAGATTATAGCATGGATAGTCAAGGTATAAGCACTAAAATAATTAAAAGGGTAGTTTTTGTTTTGTTTTGTTTTGTTTTGTTTTGTTTGTTTGTTTGTTTTTTGAGGCAGGGTCTCACTATGTAGTTGAGACTGACCTGGAACTCACTATGTAGCCCAGGCTGGTCTTGAACTCACAGCGATCCTTCTGCCTCAGCCTCCCGAGTGCTGGGATCACAGGCGTCACCACGCCCAGCTCCAAAAGGGTAGTTTTGGGAAAGAGGCATGTTTAGAAACTTTTTAAGATAATAAAATAGTGAATGTAACTTGTTGACTCATAGACTCTCCACTAAGTGGAGATTATGTATAAGTCGGATACTTTTTTCATAATTTCTAAATTTTTGTTGTAAAAAGATTAAAAATTTAATAAACAATTTTAGCTAAAAAACAAAAACTCTTGTTCAGCTCATAAAAAATTTTTATTTGAACTCCTAAGTTTTGTCTTAGTTATATTTTTCTACTGGGGATTTAAGACCAAGTAATAGCGAGACTTGTATTAAATAAAATTAACCTCTTACTAGCTGACAAGGTCAGTTAAGTCTCCTCAGGCATTATCTTGTAACCATGCATAGATCCTCTAGCTCCTCTGTCAGTGTCGACGATCAGGATATGTCATGCCCTTGCTTGACCATACTGCTTTCTGCAAAAGCCTTGGAGATTTTTTTCCTCCACGTGACACTCCTTTGGCACACTCTTTTTGTTGGATGTTACTGTTTTAGTGTCGAGCAGTCTCCCTGCTCAGGAGGTGGGTGACTCACCAAAGATGTATGATCTTGTGGAAAAGGTTCCCTCATGTCCTGGATCTTTTTGTTGTTGTTGACTTTGGAGGGCCTGGCTGACTTAACCTAGTTACCTTTCCAGTTCTGTTCTCTAAATGTTAGTTGTTGAACCCCCAGAAGAGAAGATCAATATCATTAGCATTGTAATAGGTGTAGTGAACTTAACTATTAAAATTTTACCTGGGTATTAAGCATTTTGGAATGAAAATATAGGTAGGAGACCATTATTACCAATCGTTTGTTCTAGTGGAACAAACATGTAGAATGTTAACCAAAAAAGGCTTTAACTCAAGGACTACACGGTATTTTAGTATAACTATTGTGATATTATCTTTCTTTGTAATACACTTAAATGTGTATCTTAGTATAAAATAGCCATTGTTAAATGTAATCACTCCCCATCCCCCCAAAAAAAAACACAGGAAAAAGCTCTTACCTCAGTAGCTATCTTTTGATAGGATGTCATCTGAGGAAAATATATTGGCCTACAAATATACCTGTTATCATAAGTGACTGGAGCATTAGAGAAAATAAAATATCTCAATTAAAAGGAAATTATTATCATAAACGATATGTTGCAAGACCTGTACAGTTAGAGGGCATGAATACATTTTGTACACCAGAAAAGTAGTAGTATTGAGTATTACAGTTATGTAAAATCTTATGTCCGTCATTGTGGTTTGGTACCAAAAACATCTTTTTAATAACACCTTTTTGTTTACCCCACAGAAAATTAATCTTTTGAAGATGACCAATGTAAACATATCACAATAACATATTTAGAACTTAACCAATATAACTATCTTATAATAACATATTTAGAGCTTAACCCTTTGATGATAACCAATGTAACCAATTTATAGTGACATATTGAGACAATATTTGTTGGATATATCTCCCATAAGGTTTTGAAAATTATTAGCAGTCCCATTTAGTGAACAAAGCCCAGAATAATTATTTTCTGTGTAGCTGCTCCTTTTTTCACTAAGGGGAGTCCCATTTAGCAGTCTTCCCAAACCTAAGGATCCATATTTATTTACTTTGACAAATACAATTTTTTTTTATTTTTATAACTTAGAAAAGCCAGATTGTAACAATTAATACATTATTTGTAGCCAGTAAGAATTTTTTGAGTTATGGTATGTGAGCAACAGTAAACATTACTTTTGTGAATTAAATCTTGGCATCATTTTGATCCGCTGGCAACCTGGGGGAAGAAGGGCATGCCTTCAAATTAACATTTATCTGAAAGGCTTATAATTTAATTATAAGTGATTTCCTTTTACGAAAAAATTTCAAAAGGTGAAAAAAATATTGTTGCTCAAACAAAACAGCTGTATGACTGGACAAATATATAAGATAATTCATTTATAAAACTAGAGTGAACTCAAATATGTCTGGCTAAATTGAATTATAATATCCCTTTTATTATTGTTAGGTTTATAATTGTCTATAAGGCTGGTAGTAACTTTTTGTAGGTCAATTAACAGAGATCCTGTTTTAAGCTTGCCCCTCCCCTTTAAGCCATAAATCTATTTTCGTTCTCTCTGTGGGGGTGGTTTCTTGGTCCTGGACCTGGAAGTGGATTTGTTAGTCATTGCAGGTGAGATGGGTCGCTCAGGAGCAGCTGGTTCGTCACTGTCAGGGGGGTGCTATTGCCTGTTCTCCATGATGATGGAAATAATTGTTGGTTATGATTATATCTCAAGTAAACTATTTTTGCAATTTGCTCTAAGTATAATTGTACAGATTTCACTAACTGGTTAGATAAAAATAACCGTTCCATGGGAAAGACCTGTTTCTTATACCATTGTCTTATTAAACCTGGTGAATGGGGGTGGTTAAGCACAAACAAATGAACCAGATAGAGTTAATACAAAAAGGCTGACAGTTACGTATGCTTTGTTCTATTCTTTGTAACTCCTTTTGTGCTTCTGGAATTAATTTTCCAGGGGAATTAAGATCAGAATCTCCCTGTGATAGTTTATACAAATTCTGATATTAAAAAGTTGCTATCCCTATTTTAGGCCTAATCCAATCAAAGGCAAATCAAGGCCAGTCAGTTATCCACAAAGGAATGTTGAAGCAGTCTTTTAAATCTATAAGTATAAGTGGCTACTTCTGGGGAACTGCTACTGGATTTGGTAACCAGGTTGCAGTGCCCCCATCAGAATGAGGCTTGAATTAATTGCCCATAAGCCCTGAAAGAAACACCATTTGCTTGACCTTTTAGGAATAACAAAGACATTTGTGTTCCAGGGGCTCCTGGATGGTTCTAAATACTCCTATTAAGTTGTTCTAATATAAATTGCTCTAAAATGGTTTGTTGCTCTGTATTATGGGCCATTGATCAACCCAAATGGGGTCATTTGAATTCCATTGTAAAGGCAAAGCTTCCTTGGGCAGAGAAACTTCAACCAAAAAATTTGATCATATTTGATTCCAAAGTGATTATTTTTCTGTTGCTGTTCTATAGGCTGCATTCTGCCCTGAAATTGCTTACCTAATCCTTTTCCCAGTCGTATCACATTTGTAGCATCATTTGTTGAACTGGTGAGGTTTCAGGGAGCAAAGTAGTCACTACAACTCTCCATTCTTCCAATAAATCTTCACCCCACAAATTTACAGGTATGGCAGCTATGTGAGGACAAATATGTCCTAGTTAATCATATAAGGTGGGGAAATGGAACTTTGTAAAATTTGCTGAGGGGCACCAGGACCTGCCAGAGATGATTTAGCTGGTTGTTTGCCCCAAAATGGCCCAAAACACGTGCCACTGATGGACACATCTATGCCTGTTTCTATCAACCCTGTAAAGAATTTGCTGTTTAATTTAATTTTGTACGTGGGCTGGCTTTTGAAAA